GTGAGTTATTGGTTATTTATCTCTCTTGTTTTGATGTTTGAGATCCTTGATTGTTTAAATTGTGATTAACAGAGATGTGGCATCATTGACGTACATTATATATACAATTTTAGCTTTATTTTTCTGTTCTCTTTGGTTCCAAATTTTACTTTCTGCTAAATCCAAGTTGCCTTTGGTTTTGACCACTCTCTTCCTAAAGTATTTAGTTGCCTAATCAAGTAGCTATAGTTTTCATTGTAGTAATAATGCAAATTCTCATTCTTTCTACAGGTTCATTGACTCCCAGTTCTGCAGCGTCAGGAACTTCAACGTCCACCACTACTGCATCCCAGACATCATCATCTCTTGTTGTAGCTTCAAGCAGTGGGTGCGTTATAAACTTCTTGGGCGTATTATAGCTAAGATATCTTTTGAACTTTAAATTACAATTCCATTTTCTTCAAATAGTAATTTCTGGTATGGAGGAGGCTGTGCACTCTGATGTGCGTTTTACATGTTTTAATATATTGGAATCTTCAATTAGTTCTTTGATCAGTTTATGTTTAAATTTGGGACTCTCTTGTTTTGGTGCTCTTCTGTGTAGCTGTGTGGCAACCTTTTTCTAACTCATGATCATTTAGCAATTCATTATCTATTGAAAACAAAAAGGTATATTGGGATACTAAACTGTCTTCATTTTTCTCTGCTTGTCCTCTAGAACAAGTTCTAGTACTACAGCTGCAGTATCTGCTAGACCGAAATTACCATTGGAGATAATAGGAAAGACTGTTGACGAGGTATTGTTTTTCTAATTCTTTTCTGTATATTTTCCTTCATAACGTTTTATCTATATATTTCATGTCACTTTGTAGAGTTCGTTTGCTAAAGGTGCAAGTTGGATTCACCTACACATTCTTCTTGACCTAATGTACTGTTAAGTGTTGCGTGAAGCAGAAAGTTGTAAACTCAGATAGAAAAATGGAAAACATTAACTTTCTAATAAGAATTGCTGGTTTGGGAACTGGAATACCTGAGGCATGACTAAATCAATGTCAAAATGTCAAATATTTGCCAAATTAAAGGAGGGTATACCTTGCTTGTTTAGACATTACATTCACTTGTTCTTGGATTTCCCTTAGAGTTTGATTATGATGTGGAAGTAGGAAACATCTTTCTTGGCAGAACCGAGGTGCCTTTACTATTCTGTGATCTCATACTTTTCTCAGCTACTGTCTAACCATTCTAATCTTCTGTCATCATTAAGCTTGTGTGTTTTTGCTTTGACTAAAGATCATCAAGGAATGGAATGCTGAGCTTCAAGAGCGTGCTGGAAAATTTCAGAAGCAAGCTGCTGCAATAGCTGAGTGGGACAAACGGATCTTGCGCAATCGTAATGTTATTCTCAGGCTCGAGGTAATATATCCTCAGAGGAGATAGCATCATCATATGCAAAAGTTTTATCAAAAAACAACAGGTTCCTGTCCCACCATAACTTTATCAATGAAATAAAAGTACTCTATTGGCCCTAATGGTTTGGGTTTTTTTTTTTTTTGGGTGCACATCTTTTGCTAATCTGGTTGCTTGAGTTTTTCTCTTCATCTATTTGTAAACTTTACTACAGATTGAAGCAGCAAAAGTGGTTGAGACCCAAGCAAGTTTGGAGCGCCAACTAGAGTTAATTGAGACTCACCAACAAGAGGTATTTTAATATATTTTCCCTTAATTTTTCTGCTGCTAATCTTTTGTCATAACATTCCTCAGGATTTGATATGTAGTTAAGATTATCACTGTTTCCACTTGAATGTGAAGATCCCCTTTTATAGTCAATCCTAAAATGCCAAATTTAAGCTTTTTCCATGGAGTAAAAGGTTAGGTTCTTGGTAAACCTGAGATCATTTTGTTTCCATGATATTCTTTCTTGACTCTAGTCTAATGTTATGTTTGAGCCTTTAGAAGACATATGAACACCTGTTAAAAAAAAAAAAACTCTTGGAAGTATTCTCTATCATGTTTGGTATCCTAACTAAAATCTTTTGATTGTTTATGCGCTAAAATTATGCAATTATGTATTTGATAAAGTTTTATTGATCAAAACGATTTGTGTGATGTTTTGTGAATAAATGCATCTTCTTCTGTATATATTTTTAGGTTGATAAGGCTTTGCAAAGCATGGAAGAAGAAGGTGAGCGTATTTACAATGATGAGCAAGGGTTACTTCTTGATGATGAAGCTGCATCAACAAGAGATGCAATGTAAGAACTAGTTCTTCGACTCTATGATTGAATCAGATTTAGCACATGGCTATATGCAAACTTCAAAGATTTAGCATACAACCCACCACCATCTTCTTCTTTTTCTCTCCCCCTTGACATATATTTGATTGCCTCTCCTAAGATTTTAGTCTTCGATTTTCACTTTAGGTATGAGCAAGCTGAATTTATCGAGAGAGAAATGGAGCAGATGACAGAACAGATCAAATCCATTATCCAGAGCTTAAATGCGAGTCAGGTAATGTTCATTGTTGATAGTTATTCCAAGTAGCTTTCTCGCAACAGAAGCCAAAATATAACATTTTTAATTTGTTTTAGGGTGGGGACCTAGATGCAATTGATGGAATGACTCCATTAGATGTGGTTGTCAAAATCTTGAACAATCAACTGAGTTCTCTAATGTGGATTGACGAGAAGGTGAGTTAATCTGCATATCTGCACCCCCCCTGCCCTCTCCAGTCCTCAGTGTCCTTGGTTGAGTGGAATCATTATTTGGCTAATTTGAAGAATGAAAAGCCTAAAGTTTATTTTCAGAAATGATAACTTGAGAAACTTGGGTTAAATGTCATGCCATACTGGTCAACCACTGTCTTTTGATTCTTGTTACTTGTTTTTCATGTCTTACAATAAGCTTTTGGACTTCTTTTCCTGCCTGGATATTGTGAGTATATTTTTGAAACAGGAGTTCTGATCTATCTTATTCTTATCAGGCTGAGGAATTCTCATCACGCATTCAAAAGCTTGCCAACCAGGATTCTATAGCAGACAATGAATTATTGGCTCCAAGGTTTTGGACTTCTTGATCCCTGGGTACTCCTTTCAAGATTCAATAACTTCAAAACTGCCATTTGGGTTTAACAAACACAGGAAAAGGTCTGGATATCCATGTAATTTTGCAGAAAATATGTACATTTGTGCTCTGAATATTTCATATTGTGGGGATGATATGCAAGATCTCTCTCTTTTTTTCTTTTTTTTTTTTCTGTTTTTTTTAAATGAATTGCAAGAACATTTTTGAGAAGCTCATGCAACTGGGAATTTTGTTTCTTTAACGGGCCTCATCGCGCCCAAACTATTATTTTAGTTTAATTAATGGGCCATATGGCAGTATATATCTAATGTAAAACCAAGAAACACAAAACGACGACGTGAGATACTAGAAGAAAGACAAGGTCAATTTGTTTGCCGCGTTTTCTCCTAATTTCATGCTTTATTTTGTTCAACCATCCGAAAACAGAGCGTCAATTTCCTCTTCTTCCTACACCCCAAAATAAAAGACTAATATATGTGTTCTTCTTTGTGTAATTGGTGATGGTTGGATCAAATGGCAGAAGGCAAGTACGTAACGCTGAGGAAGGAACGAGCGCCTCTTGAAGATATCACCCCTGGCGAACTCAATCAAGCCGCACAAGTTCCTCAGGTAAATGTATATGTTTTCTCAACCTGGATTCTGTTTCCTGGGTATATTTATATTAGATTGTTTGTTTTTCTTTATTTTAATTCATTATATAAATTCATTTTCTTTCTGCCTTTTTGGTATTTGTTTTCAGCCTTTCTTCATTTCCCATTGGTTTAAGGATGGAGAAAGGAATATAAATTTTGATCGCCTTAATTTGTTTCAAGTGGATCTTCATTTTTTTTTTTTTTCAGAAATGGGAAAATGCAGCATAATGCTAAAGCCCATAACATGATTTTTCTTGGGTGTTTCGAATCAGTCTGTTTTATTCAACCTGCTAACCATGCTCACTATCGTATATATATAGCTGATAGCTAACAGATGCATGCAATGCGGGCAACCTCTACCTGCAAGCTATGAGCCACCGGCTGATGAAGACTGGACAACTGGGATTTGTGGCTGTGCTGAAGATCCTGAAAGTTGTAAGAATCCAATCTAGATTTTGTTACTAAACTAAACTCCAAAGGTTCAAACATCACATTTGCTTGTGAAAACTGAAATCCACAAGGTAGCATATCAAACAGATTCTTGATAGGCCACCTTTCCTACAACTGAATTCCTTGTTTTTCCTAGTTTTGCATCATTGGTCGCTCATGAAATAGGGGCTTAATGGTTCATATCATGTGCTCAAACAGACATGCATCATATCTATTTTTAGTTTGCTTGCAACTCTTGGGTCTTTCTTGTCAGTGTCACTAAATCAAAAGCTGCTATATATCAATTAAATAAGATACCATTAGTGCGATTGGTGTTGGTGGAGAGGATGTATCCAATGCTATGTTAGGAGGTATATCTATCAACTATCTTCTGGTTCTGTGCAGGCTGGACTGGACTATTTTGTCCATGCGTGTTGTTTGGGCATAACATGGCAACATCGAAGGATGATATTGATTGGTACCATGCCTGCCTTTGCCATGCTGTGTGTATTGAAGGTGGAATGGCAATTGCAGCAGCAACTCTACTCTGCCCTGGTTTTTATCCTAGGATGTCATTTCTCATTTGTGAGTGCCTGTTTTTTGCCTGGTGGATGTGTGGTATCTATAATGGCATGTGTCGAGAATCACTGCAGAGGAAATATCATCTCAAGGTACTCACATTGCCCATATATTCTTGCCTTAAAAAAAAAAAAAAAAAGGACATGTAACTATAATTGGAATACTACAGCCTCTAATATGCTTGGCTGCCCATGTCTGACTACTTCTATTGTTGCTTCTTTGCAGAACTCACCGTGTGATCCCTGCATGGTTCACTGCTGCATGCATTGGTGTGCCTTATGTCAGGAACACAGAGAAATGAAGAACCATTTATCTGATAATGCTGATATGCAGATGACTGTTGTCAACCCTCCTCCTGCTCAAGAGATGAGCACTGGTGAGAATCAGGAGTCAGCATCAGCCGCGGTAGTATCTGCACCATCCTCCGGAAATGATGATCAAAGAAAGTTGGAGACACAGCCAGTGTAGGATTCATGACCATCCAAAGTTTTTCTTTCTTTTCACCTCTGTTGCTTCCAAAATGGAGTAACTTATTCAGGATGTTCAAATGGCTTCTAGTTTTAAGGTGCCAATTTAGCTTGTGTTTCGAGTGAAGTTATTTTGCTATTTCAATTAAAGCTTCAATCTTTGAAGTCTCAACGAGATGTACAAAAAAAATTTGTCTTATTTTTTTGAAATAACAAGTTATTATTATTTTATTAAAAATTTATTATTGTATTGTTTAAATTATATTAAATTATAAAATAAAATTTTTAAATAAAAAAAGTATTCAATATCAAAACCATATATATTAATAATAAATTCATCTTTTATAATTGGATACAATCTAAATAGTAAAACTTCTAATTAGAATTTGGAAGCGTCGTATCAAATTCAAATTGTTACTGTAAATCACAAGTTGAAATCACAGTTTTTTTCACGGGTTTTGAACAGAGAAGGGTGTTGATTGAGACAAAAATTAGCTTAGGATGTTCACCATAAAAGGAAAAAAATGTGTAGGGTGCAAATAGGGTTTTAGCCAAAAAAATTCAATTCCAAACCGTCTGATCCGGCCCAGTAACAGAACAGAGTTCCTTCGTGCTGCACTAGCCCGCTCGATTTCCAGTTCTGGCCCGACCCATTTAAGACCCATCTTCTTCTTCTTCTCCTCCATTTTCCATTTCAAAAACTCCAGGAAAACCTCACCCTTGGGTTTAGGGTTTAACCCGCACTAACACTAATTTTCTGTCCACCATGGCGCGATTCTCGCGATCCACCGCGCCACGGCTACTCTACAGATTCTATGTCTCTCCTAAGGCGACACTATCTAGTCCTCCATCGCCGACCTCCGCCCTCCTCCTGGGCAACTTCGAGGTGCGGCAATTCTCAACGGGCAATCTCGCACGTGCGAACGAGGAGAAGGAGCCCTGGTGGAAGGAATCAATGGAGAAGCTCCGAAACATCGGGATCTCTGCTCACATCGACTCTGGAAAGACCACGCTGACGGAGCGAATTCTCTATTACACAGGCAGGATTCACGAAATCCACGAAGTTCGAGGCAAAGATGGTGTTGGTGCCAAGATGGATTCCATGGATTTGGAGAGAGAGAAGGGTATCACCATCCAGTCTGCAGCCACTTACTGCACCTGGAATGGTTACCAGGTGTGTTGTGTTCTTTTCATACAGTCTGCATGAAAAGTTGAATTTGTCATTTGTTTTAGAAAAGCTAATTACTGTTATTGAAATACTGAGTTTCTCATTCAGAGTTTCTTAAAAATTTGAAAGACTTTCAAGAAAATTTTCATGGTTGACTTTCAAATTGGAAATGATAAGTTTATTGAAAATTTTGTATTGGTTTAGTGAAATTATTGCTGACTCTGCATGGTTTCGTGGTCGCTCGCCTGCAACCTGGCAGATTAACATAATTGACACCCCTGGTCACGTTGATTTCACCATTGAAGTTGAGCGGGCTTTGCGTGTACTTGATGGTGCCATTCTTGTCCTCTGTAGCGTCGGTGGTGTTCAGAGTCAGTCAATCACTGTTGATCGGCAGATGAGAAGATATGAGGTTCCGAGAGTTGCATTTATTAACAAACTTGATAGAATGGGAGCGGACCCATGGAAAGTTCTCAACCAGGTATATTCTGAACTAATGTTCCATAATGAAAACTGTGATGAACAATTTAATTGTTTGTGTGTTTTGTCCTTGTAAAGAGGAGGTAGAATATTTTGATGTCCTGTTCCTCTGGTATTCAATTGTTTTCAGTTATGCAGGTCATCCTTCAATGGTGAAGGAACTCTGGATAATTTTTAATATGCTTGCATAATTTTTATGTTACACATTGTTAAGTCTTTGGCATTAAGACTTAGATCTTCATCAGTGGCATGCTGATAATGGTGTCTTTCTTCAGGCAAGGTCCAAGCTTCGGCATCACAGTGCTGCCGTGCAAGTTCCAATTGGATTGGAAGAGGATTTCCAGGGCCTTGTTGACCTTGTGAAGTTAAAAGCTTATTATTTTCATGGTTCCAGTGGGTCTGTTTCAACATCTCTGGAGTTTCCTTAACTTCCTAGATTGTATATCTTTTTTAATTTGTCATTGGTTCCTTTTGCAGGGAAAAAGTTGTAACTGCTGAAATACCGGCTAATATGGAGACCTTGGTTGCAGAAAAGAGACATGAACTAATAGAAATAGTCTCTGAAGTGGATGATAAGCTTGCTGAAGCATTTCTTAGTGATGAGCCTATATCATCTGCTGATCTTGAGGTGCGTTGGCAAAATAATCCTGAAAAGAAACCTAGTTAGTGAGTACATCTGTAGATGTCTGTGGTTTGGTCCTAAAGTTTAGAGTTTGCTCTTTGAGTAGGAAGCAATTCGCAGGGCAACTGTAGCACGGAAGTTTATACCTGTGTTCATGGGAAGCGCATTCAAAAACAAGGTACATTTTCATTTATTTCCTCTTTTCTGTGGCATTTTCTCTCAATTCATGGTCAAGTAAACCATCAGTAGGATATTGATTCTGAAATCAAAGGTGCAGATTGAGATTCTTTCTGTAATTTCCAGACTTCTTTCAATCATGCTCTCGTTATTCTGCCTTTTCTTGGATGCAGGGCGTACAGCCACTGTTGGATGGTGTCCT